TGTACACAGGGTGTAAGCAGCTGTCTTAAGCTGAGTGTGTGTGTCAATGTATGTATGAGTGTAGTGTGACTGCAAGTGTTTGTATACAAGGCCTCTACGTTGTGCGTGTGTGCATATGTGTACACAAAGTGAATGTCTGCCATAGGCTGTATATGCATGTGGAAGTATCTGTTAGAGCTGTGTGAATAGGGATATTTTTTTTGTTTGAACTGAAAAATAAAATTAAAACAATTCATTTTGGGTTGACCCGAAATGAAAATTTTATATTTTGTTTCTTTCCTGAGTTTAACCTTTTTTAAAATAAAACTGAAGTAAAATTTGAAACAAAAAAGTTGTTTCAAGTCCAAAAATCAAGCTGTTTCATTTAGAAAACACTAAAATCGAAATTTTGTTTTTGTTGAGAATTTTGGTGTAACTGAAACAATTCAGCAAATTCAACACAAATCCACAAAATGTTTCCATCGACCCGAATCTGCATATTTGGGGCAGGGGAGTTTTGGCTGAAAATTTTCATCTGGCTCTAGTATAGGTACGCACATGTATGCCATCTGAGTGTGTCTGAGCGCACAGGCTTTGTATTCAGAGTGTGTGTGTGTGCGTGCGCTGTGTGTCTGTGTGTCTGTGTGTCTGTGTATTCTGCTTCTGCACAAAACTGTTCTTTCATGGACAGCCTGTTGTAGCAATTGATACAGAGTAGCTTGGCTGCTGCTGTTTGTCTGGCTGGGTTTGTCCCTCCTTTCTGTAGCCTACACTGCTGATGCATCCCCCGTGTTTGGTGGCTGCGGGGCATTTCCTCCTGTTAGGATCATTTCTCCCCAGCCGTGCCATTGCTGGAGGGATTTAGGCAGAGAATCAGGCACACCCCACCCACCTCTGCCCACGGTAGCTGTGGTAACGGCATATGGCCAGTTTGCAGACACACACGCTTGGTGCTGACATCAGCCGCTTTGGGGCACCCCATCGTATTTCTGGGCTGCAAATGAGACTTTCATACAGGACCAGGCTAGCTCGGGCTGTCACAGGCAGTGATGGATTCTCTGCGTCAGCGGAGAAGTACGGAGGTAGGTGCAGAGGAGGAGAGGCGAGAGAGAGATGGCTCAGGCATATCGTAAACAGGACAGCGGCTGCCACCGACTTGGGCGCTGGCAGGAATTTGGAAGGATTAATTAAAGTAGCATCGAATCAATGTCAGAGCGAGGTAAGGAGGCTGTGTGCACATCTGCTTCTCTCCAAAGGGGCCAGGCAGCTAGGGGAGAGAGGCAGCAGCCAAGGAATGGCTGGTAACGTTCTGTTCCCCGTCTCCTCCTACCATAGTCTCCTGTAGTGTAGCAGGTCCCTCTTCCCCACTCTAATGATGTGGCAGTGGCTAGAAAAGCACCATGTCTTTATCCATCATCTCCCTAAGAGAGACACACTCCACAGCCTGGGATACAGTTGGGAGAGCCCCACTCTGCTTTGCAAACAGCCAGCAGGATCGTGGGCCAACCTGTGACTGTGGCATCCCTGGGGCTGCTGATGGAAGGAACAGAGAGACCGTGGCGTTTGTGGTGCCAGCCCACAGAACAATGGGGTTTTCCTGCTCGCCAACAGGGTGAATTTGTTGTGGAGTCACTGAGAGAGAATAAATCCAGAAACCCAGGAGGTCATTGCACAAAGTCCTTTCCCAGATGGTAATTGCACTTTAAGACAAACGAGCACTCAGAGGTGGCTTGTTAGTGGTTTTTATTCTACTTAATAACCCGCAGGAAAGCCAGGCGGGGGATTACCCTGGGTGTTGACGTGGCAATAAGGAAGGTCAGCCAGCATCCCAAATTCCGCAGCATCAGACACAGCTCACGTCCTGCGGGCCAGCCAGAGTTTCGCTGGGATCCTGGGGCCAGTTCAGCCATGAGGGCCCCTTCTCTGGGGTTGGTTCCTGCATAGAAAGGGATTTCCTGAGGCCCCCTAGGCCAGCCTGGATTGGGGGCGCTTACTCCTGAGAGTGTGCTCACCATAGAGATCACAACCCCATTGGCCTTTGAACGGCACGAGAGACCTGAGCAATTTCATGTCTAGAATACTCTTCCTCCCCAAGGGGTTCTCAGCCCCTTTGTCAGGGCCCTGTCTCCTCCCAGCTTTCCCTGCTTTCATACTGCTGCCCATTAGCAAGACCCAGCCTCACATCCTTCCAGCCAGAGAGGACTTCCATCGTTACCCCCACAGGGGGCGTGGTAGTTACCGTACACGATGTGCACCCAGCTCCTCTGGTCACGCTACTTCCCCCTTCTGCCATCCTAGCTCTCTCTGTCTCTTTTTCCTGGCATGGCGGAGCATCAGCCCAGGAGCAGGTCTCCATTATAGCACCTTAGGCTATTCGGTGCTGGTAATAGGGGCCAGGCAGGCCGAGTCCTCTGGTTAACCCCAGAAGAGGACAAGCGCGGGCAGGTTCTCTCCACGTGGCCATGCCAACATGCCTCAACTGGAAGGGCCAGTCTGGTGGGCGAGAGGGGAACCCTGTTTCCATGGCCTTTCTTGAGTCTCTGGTTTCTCAGCTGAAGCTGTTAGCCGGGGGCTGGTCAGTGCTAGTCCGTAACTCTTAGCAGTATGGTGCTTTTCATCTTTCGAAGCATTAGCTGATCCCCACCCCCAACAGCCCTGCGAGGCAGGCAGGCTTTGTTATCCCCCTTTCAAAGCTGGCCAGGTGAGCCCAAGGCTGCCCAGGGAGAGGTGGTGTGAGAGCTGGGGTTGTGACTCCCTGACGCAGCACAAGGAGAGTTTCTGTGGGGGCCCATGAGACCCTCGCCTTGGGAAGCGTGACATGTTTTCTGTTGTCCCTGTGTATGGGGATACCTGGTTCTGTGAGGTGTTGGGGAGAAGCACTTTAGACCCTCGATGGTGGTGCTGGGTTTTCTGACATGGACACTTGACCATTAGAAACTGGATGGTGGGCGTCCAAACCTCAAAGATGTCAAAGATCCATCAGAGAGTGGCAGCTTTTAGTCACTGCCACCTGAGTGGTATTTAACTGGTGATCAAGGCGGTACCACTGAAGAGATCCATTTTTCATTCCTGACCCCCTACGCCATGCAGCCCCTCCATGCGGGACAGTCTTTCAGTATGACTGGAAAGCCAGCATAGAATCATAAGGCCTGGAACAGATCCGAAAAGGTCTTCTAGTCCAGTCCCCTGCACTGAGGCAGGACTAAGTATTATCTAGACCATCCCTGACAGGTGTTTGTCTAACCCGATTTTAAAATGTAATTTGCATGTAATTTCAAGATTATACTGATCCTGCTTGGTGGTGCCCGGCAGCTCCCCTCACTCCCCAATGGAAAGCGCATGTCTGTGCAGCCGTGCCTGCCCCAAAATGACCTCGGAATGCTTGGGATTTTTTCTTTACATGTTCAGAGGGTGCCTCTGTCTATTCCAGGTATCACCTTGCATGTGTATCCCATGGAGCCAGCAGGCTATTAGCAGAACCAGGAATTTAATCTGGCCTCTTACCCCGTATCCTAAGATGGCATCTAGATGATGATGCAACCATGATAAAAACTTAAAAGCAAATTTCACGCAGGTGAAAAGGGCCAGCTCAACAGTCCCTAGAGAGAGCTGCTGCCACCACGCTGCCTCCCCAGACTTGCAAGCATCTCTTGCTTCCCTGAAACATGCTGCTCTTCGACTCCCAGCTTTCTGGAGCCCTCCTTAGAGTTCAGCTTGAATCTGCCAGCTCCATGAGTCACTCCAAGCCACATCAGCTTAAACTCAGTGTATGGCTTCGTTTCACACCCAGGGACGCATGCATGAAGGGACAGTTTTACTGTGGCACTTGATGGCTGAAAAATGTCTCCTACATAGGAAAAATCACGCAGTATGTGGCAACTTTGCAACCCACACAAAAGAAAGTACAATCCGTTGGGCGGGTAGTGATGAAACGGTTCGAGCCAGATAAGGGGGAGGTGGAGCAATGGCTCAGGGCACTCCACCTCTGCCAAACCCCATCCCATCAGATTCTGCATCCACTGGGATGTGCTGGTGTATTTCAGGTACAGAGGAGAGACAAAGCCCGCCTCCTAGTTGAAGGCGATTTGCTTGGATGGCCAGCCAGTCACAAAAAGTGTGTCTATACCTGCAGGCGTCCCACCCACATCAGCACTGGGCGCTGCTCCTGTGTTTGTGGTGTGTGTGTGTGTGTGTGTGTGTGTGTGTGTGTGTGTGTACGTACAACGCCTAGCACAAAGGGCTCCAGGACTGGAGTTTCTAGACACTAGACTAATACAAATAATCATAATAGTATAAACCGGGCAGAGATACAGCGTCTCGCTCTGCTTTGAGCTGCACCAGGCCAGATGTCCAAGTTTTGCCAGCATAGACACGCCCAAAATGTTTGGGTTGGAAAGTTTCAACTTTTCACCCAAAATTTGACAATGTTTGGGTTTGGACTGAACGTTTTCTGGGTTTTGACCAAAAAATGTTGAGAGAAGTGCTTTCCGTGAAAATGGTGGTTTAGTCGAAACCCCAGTTTTCTGGTTTTGACAGACAAATGTTGACCAGCCCTAATTTGGGGGTATCACCATCCCCCGGCCCCGTGCAGCACGAGGTTGTGGCACGCAGTCATTCAAAGTCTGCTTTCACCTCAGGTGCTGCACAGGGTGGGGAGGCAAGTCTGTGGCTGTGCTTGGAGGGGCTGTACTGAGCAAATACGGGCAAGTGGAAGCAGCCTCTGGTCAGCAAAGCCAATGGTGGGGATGGAGTCTGCCTGTGAGGTGGTGTTCAGGGCAGGTTGCCCCCTGGGGCAGGACTGAGGTACCAAGGGGCTGAGGGACAGATTTTTAAAGGTACTGAGGTGCCTGAAGATGAGCCGGGCCCTCTGTCTCCAGTAATGTGGAGCTGCTTGGCAACAACAGCATGTGCGAAGTGGCTAGAGAATGGTAGGAGCCAGCCGGGGGTAGGGGAGAAGGGAACGTTGGGTTTGGCCGTCCTGTTGATATAAAGCGACTGACTGAGCTCTTTGTTTCCCTCAGGCTAATGGAGGTTGGCAAGATGCTACTACCCCCTCATCAGTGACTTCCCCCACAGAAGGCCCTGGCAGCGTCCACTCTGATACCTCCAACTGATCTCCCAGCAAATCGCATCCCTGGCTGACCCCAGCCCCACTCAGGGCCGGGGGTGGGAGGGGAGGGTGCTCTCCTGACACTGAAGCAGTCAGACTGGAGGTGGAACCAATCGGCTAAACACAACAAGAGTCGCCTTCTCTTCTCTTTGTCGGGATGCTTTTTTCAGCCAATCTGGACACTTCTTTATACTCTTTTTTCCCTTTCTTTTCTGGGCAGAAGCCACCTCTCCCCTCGCCACCACTCCCGCCCCAACCTTCTCCCTGAAGGATATTTTCAACAGTTAGAAGAATTTAAAGAGGGGGGGGAAAAAAACCAACAACAACAACAAAAGCATCTGTCCATTTCCATGCTGGTGTTTTGAGGAGCCAAAATTTACCTCACTCCTTTGCTAACAGGCAACCCACCTCCTTCAGCTTCTCTTGCGCTCACACTACCTCTTAGCAGGAATACTTCACATCCGCTCTCTCTTCTGCTGCTGCTTCACCACTCTTCTGATTCTGGGGACAGAGCTAACAGGACGCTTTCCTGTTCCGAAGCGATCCCAAAACCTCAGTGAGTCACCCCCGGGGCATTTCCAGTGACAGGGCGGATAAATGCATTCCCAGTGCTGCCAGGCGTGTAGGAAAAGGGAGCAAAACCCCTCTGCTGGGGCTCTCCTCGCTTTCAAAAGGTACCAGGACATTGTGCTTGCAAACAGGTGTAAACAGCAAACGCTAACCCTTCCCTCTGCCACTGTACTTTGCCTCAGACCCCAAACACCAGCCGTTCAGCTCTGCAGCAAACACACATGGCATTTGCCAGTGTGCGAAGGAACCAAAAATAGCCAATATTCTTTGCATCATGGTACTTCTAGGAAGGAAACAGCAGAGAGCAGTGAGTGAGAAACTGTGGGCATCTGTAATGCTAACACTTAGCACTCATAGTTTTACCCAATCAAAGCACTGCAGAAACACCGATGAGCGATTGATGGGGCCGATTTGCATGACACTTATGTTGTTAGCACTGAGAGCGTTGCACTGGGTTTGAAAAGCAAGCCAGGCCTGGCCCGTGTTGTGTTCTGAGGGGGTGTGCATGCCTACCTGCTGGGGAGCTGTATGGGCTCTGGGGTGCCCCTTCTGCAGTTACAGTGAGAAACAGGCTCATGTACCCATTGGTACAATTTAGCCCGTAAAAGGTGTTCAGATAGCATCCTGTGAATTAGCAGGCATGAATGTTCCTTATAGCCAAGCAGATGAGCAGTGAAGACTGAAGGGTGAGGGGAGAGATGGGTGCACACAGTCAATACATAAGTTGAATGGACTGGATACTTTCAGTAGCTATTAATAAACCTGGTCTGTTTTTGTCAGGGGGGGAAATGCCCCATAAACTAAATAATTTTCTAGTTTGGGGATTTCTTTCAAATTAAGGGGCTAGTTTCAGTCCCGCACCTTTTTGTGAATCTAAGATGTGACATGATAAGTACTAAAATAAATCATGTAACATTCCACCCAGCCAATCGGCACCCAGGATCTTTCAGCATTTTGTAGCAGGAGGGTTTGCTCCCAGGGTTGGTTCTCCTGCAGCGCTTGGTCAGCTGTAGGGAGGAGGGGCTCCTGATTGGCCAAGAAGGAGTCGGGGTTTATTCCTGGTGGAACGTTCCATTGCACACTAACAAAACAAAATGAGATAAGGAGGGAAGAATGCAGCCAACAGTAATTTTGCAACAGAGTTAAAATAGATTGATCTTTGTCTTCAGCTGGAGGCCTCTCTGGTGTGAGGGTGGCATTTCAAATGGGTGAACATAAAGCAGGGCAGCTCTGGCGGCAAGCCCTCCTGGGCAGGAGGGCAGCCTGCATTTAAAGTGCTGCTTGTGCAGTGGGAGGGAATTGTTGCCTTTAATGGGCGAGATGTTATGAAAATATGCCCCATCTTCTCTTTTACGAACTACAGCCCTGAGCCTGAAAACACATATGTGCAGTGGTCCCATTGATCTCAGAAGCATCAAGCTAGGCATGTGTGAGAGTGTCTCAAAGTCTAAGTCTTAAGAGGATCTCTGTGTGGGGGTTAATTATGCATAAATTGCTAAATGTGCTAAATTGCAGAGCCATGTGATCATCAGTATCTATCCATGCACCTTTGAGCATATCACCTGCACTCTGGCCACTGACCTCCACTGGCTTTTTTTCTACCAATTCCAGTATTAGTGTAGTGCAATTATTGAGCTGCTTCAAGTAGCCACCATTTTAAATCAAAGCTCTGCCAGAAAAATAGCCATCCCTCCACTGACAAAAATGTAGATTGGTTTGAGGCCAGACACGGGCAATAAACAGTCCCGCAAGAGTTTATGGCCTTGAGATACTGAGCCCCTGCAAAAGCTAGAATTGGGAGCATGATTCTGTTGAAATGGGAAGGTCCCAACTTACCAACAGGATGTACAACACTTGCTAATAACCCTGGGAGGCTCCAATGTATTGGCTTTGAAATTTGTGCCTATTTTTTAAATAGATAAGCTAATTTGGCTGGATTGTGTAGGTTTCTAAAATGTAGATACTTAGATCTCCCTCCCGCCCCCGAGTCTTGTACAGTTGGATTCAAAGCTTTTTAGAAACTTGGACAAAAAATGACCAACAAATTCTCTCGCTTTCTTCCTACAATTTTCCAGTCAGCTGTGGTGCTGAGACACCCATGTTTAGAGGTGGAGGGATACAAAAAATAGTCCCAATTAAGGTCCAACATGTGAGGGCCCTTCCCCCCCCACTTTACCCACAATGGTAAGCAGTTACTCCCACAAGTAGTCCCTGCATTCTAGTTTATTGTTATTCATGGTTGTAACTACTCACCAGTGGGAGTAAATTGCCCCATTTGGTCCTAAGCATTTAAAAATTGTCTAGACCATTCCTACCCAGCATGTATAGGACACATGATGGGGCAGCGTGCTATCCTTGGACTGACTGGGATAGCGCATGACGCTGCCAGTCGAGCGGCGTCCCATCCCACACCTGTGTCTATAAAGCTTTTATACTGCATCCCACCATCACGTATTCTCTCTCACCTTGTAGCTAGGTGATACACAAACACCAAATCACCTCCCAGATGTTCTCCCAATATGGTGTCTTGGCTACATCACAGCCTAGGGCCTTGGTCTATCCAAGAACTTAAGCACATGCTTAACTTGAAGCATGTGACCAGTCCTGTTGAAGTCAGTGATTTCAGTTGACAAATGGGAGTGCTTATGGGCTTACAGTTCAGCATGTGCTTAAGTGCTTTGTTGGAGTGGGGTCTGTGGTCCAGATCCTGTGACTGGCTCTAGACAGGTGGACCCCCCACACACACCCCACTGCCTGCATGGGGCCTCAGTGAAATGAAGAGGCCTCCATGTAGGTGCAAGGGCCGTCTGCAGAGCCAGCTGTGATGGTACCTCTTGAAAATGAATCATTTGATAAACAGATTTAAAGCCATGCCAACATAAAGCAGCCTGCCCCTGGCGATCCCTGGTCTGCTTGAGAATCGAATTGCGTGCCATCCACCTCCAGTGTAGCAGGGACCAGTCCTCGGAAGCAGTTAGCTGGAGCTGCATTTATCCTCCCTACAGTTATCTCCCTCTCATTCTCCCATTCCCCACGGCATGACATTGACTCCTTTATGGTATTTAATGCGTCACGTTTTTCGGTTTCCTTTTTCATTCCTTTTACATTTGTTGTTGTTGCTGACTGGTCGGTTGCCTTTTTCTCACAAACTTTGAATTTTTTTTCTTTTTTCTGCCCAGAAAATCCTAACTTCGATACCAAAAAACAAAAAAAAACAAAATGAAACAAAAATAAAAAAAACAAAAACAAAAAAACCTGCAGAAAATTTAAAAAAAATTTTAAAAAAATAAAAATAAAAAAAAAACCTTGATGATTCTTTCAGCTTTATTAACATTTTCCATTGTTTCTTGCGATTTGTGTCTTGTTCTTTGTAGCATTGATGATAATGAACATTTGATAATGAATGTTCTTGTATATTCAGATAAAGGAAAAAAACCAAAAAAGCAGTCTGAATTTAATAGTGTTTATAATAAAAAAAATTTTAAAATGACCCTCATAGCACGCAAAAGTGAACGGGGAAGAATTTCCACTCCAGTTCTTTCTGTGGCAAAAAGCGCTTCATTCCTGTATAGTTTATAACACCAAACTACCTACATTCATCTTCTCTTTTGGTTTGGTTTTTTTCCATGTTTTTTTAATTTTATTTTGTTTTTAATTTTCTCGCATTTGTGAATTAGTTCAAGAATGCTAGAAAACTGTAGAGTTGTGCACACTCATTTCCTCTTACACAATGTTTAAAAAGTGACAGTAATTCATTTTGTAAAACTTAAAAAAAAAAAATGGTTGGAATAGTGAGCATAATAGGTACATTCTAACACTTTATGTTTATTAACGTTGAGACCCAGTTAATTACGTTTTCTTTTTGTTTTGCGTTCCTGTTTTTTTCCTTTCAGGGGCAATTATGATGATGATGATTATGATTATTATTATTATTTTTAAATTGTCCAGGACTATGGCCTTGTAAACTTCCCTTCCTCCACTTTTGATGTATATTCAAGGTGATGTGAAAAGCTTAATTGGCAAAAATCCATTTTTTGGTTTGATTTTTCTCATGGATTCAGATCTGCTCTGAAAGGACTTCACCTTGTTCCCCCTCCCTGAAAATTCAAACATTGCTGATCTTGGGCTTGCTTGCTCAAGTTCAGTGGAAGTTATGAGCCTAAATACCTTTGTAGAGCTGGGCCTAAGTGCCATGGTGTGGGCCAAGACACTCATCCTGCTAGGTGCTGAGTGCTTCAGCAAAGGGATGAGCACTTGCAGGGGCAAGATTTAGCTATGGACCCCAAACCACACCTACTTAGCAAAGCTTTTCAGCATGTGCTTAAGTGCAGTTACGGTCAACTGAGCACATGGTGAAAGTTAAGCACTTGCTAAACGTTAGGATGTTTCAAAGGAATTTAAGGTTGTTCAGCACCCAGATCCCGTTGCATCTCTGTCTTAGGTGCTGTTGAAAATCCCAGGCTGAACTGCTTTGCTGAATAGGGATGGACTTCATACTTAAATGCTTTCCTGAATCAGGGCCCCTGTGAAATGCAAGACTTAGTCTCTGAGCTCAACCCTTTCAAATTGTAGCAGGCCCAGCCTTTCACAGCGCAGCTGGCAGTTTCTTTCTGTCTGTAATTCTGAGCACTATCAAATGATAGGGGTTTGCTTTCCTTTTCATGATTGATCCCAGCAAAAACTTGCTGCTTCTCTTAGGGCTTGATCCAAACCTCATTAAAGCCAATGAAAGGCTC